ACATATATTACATTGTAGTTATATTGTAATTACATACCAAATAGCACATTGACGTATTGATAAGTCAGTGCTATCTTGGGATATAATGACAATATAACTACAATGTAATATATGTAATATTAAAAATGTTACATCTATGAATGGGAAATTACAACTAACATATACGTTACATGTAACATGTTTAAGTATATAACATTTATATACTGTGTTTGCTGGGAGATAATCGCGCAATTACTTCCGGCGTTCGTCGCTACAAATCGGCCGGTCGGTTTTAATCCGTACGTTCGAGCTGAAAATCGGAGACCCACAGACGGCCGGCGATTTATTTATTGGGGAAAGGGCTTCGGGGGCTCCGGCTTCCCTTCTCCCTCTCTCTCTCTCTCTCTTTCTCTCGACGCTTCTTCTATCCTAAGCAGGATTCAATTTGGCCACTGCCCACGGTTCTACCTTCAAAGAGGAATCACTATTGCCGGCGTATATGGCTGAACGACGTACGCTGGCCTCTAGCATTAATCTTATATCGAACGCTTTATCTCCGCATTCGCTTCCTCGTCCCTTCTCTTTTCTTCCCCTCTCTCCTCTCTAGCCACATCACCCTCTCTCTCTCCTATTCTCGACCTCCTCAACCCTCAGACGAGCAGGAATTTTCAATTCTTTCGAGTGTCACGAGGAGTGCAGGTCGCTTACAACATGTTGTTCTTCCGCGCTATCCGCAAGTTGGAATTGACAAGGTGTCTTATTGTTAGTTAAATGAGAGGTAGGAATGACTAGAGAGAACCATCTCGGACATTTTTCAATCAAATTTGGGATATTCTTCCGATGTATAAGTTATGTTTATATGCGCGGAAAGAATATTGTAATAAAAATTATAATGTAATTTTTGTAATCGTGGAACATATCAGCATGTAAGAGAAATCACACTTACGATATAATATTATATTTTATTTATATTATGTAGTATTATATTATATTATGTTGCATTAATATGTATTGTATTATATTTTTCAAAGAAGTATTATAACTATTTATTATATTTTGCTAAAGCAAATGTATAATTTTTATAGGAATAAATATTCTAATATGATTATACTCCAGCTTTGAAGTAAATATTGTAAAAAGAGGAATGTAGTTTTCATATAATTCGTGTTATAAAAATTTTCTCCGTGTACACGAAGAGAATTTTTTATTATGTTTATCAATTTTTTATTGTTATAAAATATATAAAAAAAAATTACTAAAAATTTTATCATGTTTGGTAATAAGTTGAAAATTATCAATATTCTATTTAAAACACTTAAAGACTCATGTGAATTTTTAACATATTTTAAAATTATTGAAATTTGATGTTCTAGTAAAATTAATTAAATCTATTTTATTGTGGTAGATATTAATCACTAAAATTCTTCGCAAAATACCATGTTATCATCATTATTTTTGGGATGAATTCCAAGAGAAAATTTTCTCTCCATATTATTTATTATATGTATATGTATAAAATATGCGTAAAATTCAAAACATAACGAATCCATATCTAAGCATCAAATTTTTCGGTCGATGCGAATAACTATTCTATGGGGGCCTCTATTTCGATTTCATCCTTGTTTCCGCGACGTGTGCGATTAATCGCGCGCGTGAATGGCAGGACGTGGAAAACGAGCGGCTTCTCAGCTAGCCCGATCTCTGCTAGCAGGACATTGGCCAGGACGAATAAGTAATGTAGAGGTCCATTATGCCGAAACGGTGAAGGGTCTCCGGTCGGGGTCAGCCAATCCCCCGGAGGGCCGTTAAAGTGAAATACTCCCGAATGCAAGGTGGCTGCCCGTCTCGCTCGCCTTCTTCAGCGATGGAGATCCCTGGCCACCCTCCGTCTCTCCTCTCTATCAGCCCCATCTCCAGACGCACCCTGCCGCCCTTCCCAACCCGCAGAAGTTTGCGTGTAGGTAAATCGTTGTTATCTGGACAGTGATAAACCCGTGAATGGAGTTTCGCGCCGGATTCGGACCGAGGACCAGGAGGGAATGCGAAGTGGAATGAAGGGAAATGATTCTCCACGAGGCTTATAGGGTGTATAAGGGGGGTGAAAGGGACGAAGTCCGCGGAATGGATGGCTCTGTTTATGCAGACTGGTTTCTGCTCGGATGTGTGGCTGCGCGACCCTTATTGGGTGGAAAAGCAAGGAACGATGCTGGGGACTTAGGGACGCGTAGATGAGGCCGATGGAGTCTATAGACAAGAGACTCTTTTATCTCCGAAGTGTATTTCGTCGAGAAACAATGGATTGAAAATTCATTGATTTTATATTTATCCAGTAATTAAAATAACAGTTCCATAATAGGCCAACTTAACGTTAAGTTGGCCCATTATGGAACAGTTATTTTAATTACTGCAATGGATAAATATAAAATCAATGAATTTTTAATTAGTCCGAGTTGAATAGAATCAATGAATCTTTGTGAAGAAATGAGCGATTGAAAATTCATTGATTTTATATTTATTCAGTCGTTAAAATAACTGTTCCATAATAGGCCAACTTAACATTAAGTTGGTCCATTATGGAATAGTTATTTTTATTTTACACGAGTCTAATTTTTAATTAAATATCCAGTCATTCTTTGCACGTGAACTCTTTCCTCGATATAATTTTTTCGCAGCCTTGTAATTTAATTGAATTTTCTGCAAGTTTGTATGAGCTTCATCGCTTCTTTCATTTTTATCTTCATGGGGTTGAACGAAATTAGGCGACCATGCAAACACCAGAGATTAAAACGAGGGCTTTGTACTATGTTGTTCACGTTTTTAGATCGTAGCCTCGGGCTACCAAACCATTCTTGTGGAAGGGACATGTGTGGAAATGATTCTTCAATATCCTTCTGAAGGTTTCAAAGTATCGGTAGGCATTTAATTAGAACTCTACATTTTTTTTCATATTATCGAATTTTACAATTATTAATCACAGAGAACCAGAAGCAATAATTCTTCATTTTATTAATAATAGTTTGCAGTACCTATATCTTATTTTTATATGTATATATTTTAGTAACAACAACAATAATAATAATTTTCAACCTAATTTTTATTATAACATATCGTCGCATATTCGGAATGCATTTTTATTTTGGAATCAAATTTTTGAAGCTCCCGATAGAGGAAGGAAAATCGAAATGGCTTCGTATATGCTCTCGGAGCTTGTTCGGAATACCGGACAATGGTCGATCTAGCGGGGTAGATGGAGGTCAGCGGCCATTCTCTGATGATATTGATTAGCCGACGCCCTTAGTTAGCACCGGCTACACTTTCTTCAGCCCCACCGCATTCTGCCTCCTCCCTTCTTTCTCTCGATGGGGAAAAAAACGTTCTCTCTTCCTCTCGCGTAACCACAGACTCCGGTTACCACCCTCGCGCCATCCTTTTTCCCGCAAATGCCGCTGAACCCTTCACTCGCTCATCCCTCTCTATTCTCTTCCCGTCTTCTGGTTACTGTATTTCTGTCGCTCTGGAACAACGCGCACTTCACTGGTCGTCGTTAGCAGGCAGATAGAAGAACCGAGAGATAGAGAGAGAGAGACTATTGCATCAGGGATAGATGGGGGAAAAGTTAGCTAAGTATCCCGGGCTAAATCATTCGTCAAGCAAATAATACCGAGTCTGAGTCACGTCTCACGCATGCGGGGGCGAGATACGATATTCGCGTGTTCCATAAATCCGAGATCCCGAGCAGCACCTACGGGGTGCTCGAAAAGACACGACACGGACATCCGGGATTTCGCACGCGAGACAGAACATCATTTATTTGCGCATACGTGGTGTCAACATATATCAACCAAATCCGCATAGTTCAATCTCATATTATATATTAAATAAATTTTGTATATATTAATATGTTTATAATATTATTATATATAATATATTAATTAATAAAATATTTTTATTTAAGAGAAAACTATTATATATGTTCATAATGTTAATTAATTAATCGTAATATACGATGAATTCAAGTTTGCCTTCCTTTCGATTGCTTTAATAAATGTCGCATCTACAAATTTCGGTGCACCCTGTACATATCACCCTTAACAAATTTGGGAAGAAGAGGAAGAGCTCGGTATGCCCCCGTGTAATTAGACACTGCAGCCTGGAACAACATCCAGAGCCGGGCATTGTTCCCAGAAATTAAGGGAAACGGGAGAAAACCGGGAAAGCTGGCGAAGATAGGGGATTTGGAGGGTCGCTAATTACGGCGGGTTCGTTTCGGGGGAGAGAAGCCATTTTCTGCACACGCATAGTCGTGTCTATGTGTGCGTTGTATTAATATACGCACAATATTTATTTCGAGAGTCTCTTTAGCACTATTTATTCCATTTATTATGCGCTTTTTATATATATATAAATATATATATATATATTATATTATTATATTATATATATATTATATATATATATTATATATATATAATATTATATATTATATATAATATATTATATAATATATATATATATATATATATATATATATATACAATATATATCATATAATATATATATTATATATTATATAATATAATATATTATAGTCATAAAAATATATATATATGCAATATAATATATATATATACAATATAATATATTATATATTATACAATATAATGTATAATTATATAATATAATATATTATATATACAATATATATATCATAATTATAATATAATATATTATATATTATATAATATAATAGTGTGTATTATATATTGTATAATATAATATATATATATTATATAATATAAATATTATACATATAATAAAAAGCGCATAATAAATGGAATAAATACTGCTAAAAGAGAAAGACTCGAGATAAATTTTTAAAAAATGTATATATTTTTTTAAGTATATTTTTATAGGAAAACAATGTCGCGCATTATAATCACGATTCATAATGTGATTGTTTTATGTGACAGACTATGTTGTATCTGTGTGTATATCTAATTTCTGTTGATTAATTTGCGCAGGTAAAGTCTGGATTGGCGACAACGAGGTTGCGTGGCGGACGGAGCAGTCTTTCAAGAGGACATCACCCTTAAATCCCTGTACCACAACAACTACCACGACGACGACAGGTGGCGGGACACTGACACATCCCCACCTGTCGCCACCCGTAGCTGCCCCTATTACCACCCCCGATCACAGAAGCCCCAGTAGCATGCACCCGAAACTTGGCATCTCACCCGGTGAGTGAAAAAAACAAATCTCCATGTATATGCATGCTAGAATTTCGCGAGAAAACATTTTTCTGTTCTCGATGCAAAAAAACATTATTACGCGCGTTAAGCGAGAATTTAACGCGGGAAACGTTTAATGATGGGGAAAAAAGCGTGCAGCGTTTCGATGTTTTTTATTCCTACGTCACGTATCGAAGAAGTAACGAATTCGCACCCTCGCGGTTCATCCGTGAGAAACCTAGTTTGTGTCTGTCTTCGACGTAGCTCGGACAATCGAGGGGTCAGTGCGCTTAAAGCGAGTCCTAAAAAGCGAGGCTCTTTAAATAATACAATAAGCTTGATGCTATTTGCCTGGACATTCAGGGATGGGGAAAGAATTCTTTTTACGAGAAGGCCTTCCAGAGAAATTGCCTCTCTCGCAGGTGCATATCTCGAATCTAATTCCCTCGACAACAAGCTTCGCCAATCACGACACAAAGATTCGTGACGCTCGCCTCGCTGATGTCTTTCGCAACTCGATGATATAATGATTACGATTTATATTCTTTCGTGTTAAGACAAGATAAAATTGCGAAAAATCTGAAATTGCGTTCGATGTCATCAGAGGGATTATTATTTATGTACAAAATATCTTAGAGCGATCATATCGACTCATATTATTAACATTCTTCATCGATTATTTAAAATAACATTTTTCTCAATTAATATTTATAATTCTAATCGTATAAGGGACATTATATATATATATTGATTTTTCAGGAAATTAATTTAAAAAAATTTCTAATATAATTAATATTAATATTAAATAATTATATCGATTAATATTAATATTATGTTAAATGAAATAAAATGAATTTTTCTTTGTATTTTATTAATCATATAACATAATATATATATATATATATATTAAATTAAATTTTTGTGATATCATTCTCAAAGGCAGATGAAAAATGCAGTGCTTGGATCGCGATGGCTATCGATGAGAACTTTCGGAAAGCGAAGGCCGAAAAAACCGGAACGGCAGTTTCTTTCGTTTGCCTAAATAAATACGTCTCGAGGGGAATCGCGCTATCCAGGGCCCGAAACACCGGCATCGTCGTTTATACGATCGGGCCCTGGGACTTCGGAGAGGAGCGTTTTTCGTCTTTTCGAGACAAGCAGGGGGTTGCGATCTCGCGAAGGGTGCAGGAGAAAGCAGGAAGCACTCGGCGGGGCATGTTTAATGCATCGCTCAACATTTCCATGTCAAACATCGCTTTGACTCGCGGAATTTAAAACCGTCTTTCGCTAGTGCGCGTTCTTCAGGATCTCGTATGAACGAGAAAGAGAGAGAAAGAGAGACGGGGAAACTACTCATCTTTATTTACTGGATAACTGCTCGACGAAATGTGTTAAGTCCGCGACGCGGTCGATAAGGGTCGAAACTTAAAAGCCACGAGGGTGAAACCGGAGACTGAATGAGATTCCAGAAGCGATTTTAGGAGGTAAATGACGACGGGCCGATCTTTGGCTGAGTGCGTTTTACAGTCGCGAAAGGGCATTAACTTCTGTCTAAAGTATCATTTCAAAAAATGTATTCGGGATTACGCGATGTAATCTTCAATTATTTGTGTGATAAGGCTGATCATTCTCAAAATAATAATTAATGTTGACGGAGATCGGTAAAATATTTAGGTAATATTTATACGTAAAATAAATATTTAAAAAATATATTTTTTGGATTGGAACAAGATTCGTTCGATCATAATATTTTGCGCTTTATTTAATTATTTTTATGACAAAAATTAAGCCACAGACGGTTCCATTAAAATTACATTCCTTGTCGCTTATCAATAATTTATATAACGATATTTATTTACTATTTTATATATAAAAATCTAATAATCTAATGATTTATCTTAATTTTTACTTTGATGTATAAATTTGTTCTTACAACGCAAAACATAATTTATTATACGAAAATAACTAGTCGAGAGACAAAATCAATTTAGTTTCCTCACGCAGAGAGAATTTTCTCTTAGTATTTACCCTGAAAATCTTGGTAATCATGGACAATATGGTATTGAAAGAATTTTATAAGGATTTCTCTGATTAATATTTACTACAATAAAAATAGTAATATCTACCACAATAAAATATAAAATATGTTCGATGAATTTTACTATGTACATATTAATATTTTTTTGTATTACACGTGCAGGCAAAGTGGCACTTTGTGTGCATGTTTTCTGTGCGGAAAGCGGCCGATTTCCCACGCCGCCATCTAGCAGCGACGCGGTGAGTGAATAAGCCGCACTTTGCCTGCACTTGTAATACAAAATAGTATGTGTATCACGTGCGAATTGACAATTGTTCACTTGTGTGGGGCGATCATCCCCCGCACTCGTGACCAATTATCAACTTTTCGCACTTGATACACAATATACTATTTTTTATATTTTTATCTATTAATATTTTTCTCTGATTTTCAGGGTAAATTCTAAGAGAAAATTTTCTCCGTGAAGAAACTAAATTGATTTTTTTCTCTCCATTAATTATTTTCGTACAATATTTTGCGTTGTAAAAAAATTAATATATTACAGTAAAAATTAAGACAAATCATTAGATTATTAATTCGATTTTCATATAAATTCTAAGAGAAATTCTCTCCGTGCTGGGACGATTCGAGGGGAAACTTAACTTTTGTCGCTGTTATCAGCATCGAGCATAGTGTCAACTTTAAGGAAGGAAAGATATTTTTTCCGGACATGGGGTCTCCGGCCGTAGCTATTTGCCTCGCAAAGCCGCCCTGCCAAGTGTGTTTATTCGGTATATCAATAAGGACGAAGTGGGCGAGAGCGAGAGGACGCGGTCCCCCGAGGACCTTCGTCCTTACGTGGCGGCGGCGATCGGCGGCGGACTCTTTCTGGACAGCTTGATAACATTATGTCGCCTGCGCCGACATATGCACCGGCTAGTTTTTAAAGGAGGGCTCTCTCCCTAAAATATTACAGGCTCGTGAACACGCTCTCGTAAAGACACACATGTGTTACAACGACAGGTCTTTTCTCGAAAAAAAAAAAAAAAAAAACGACACTCGGTAACCCTTAAATGTTCGACACGCAATATACTCGATGGATAAAATATAAATCACTCCGGATGAAAAGCACAGGCGGAATAACGTGCTCGTCGATGATTATTCTTCGCTCAGTTTCAAATGAACTTTAACTTTCAAAGGAATTTTAATTGGGAGATTAGTTACGTAGATATTTCTCATGTTGAAAATTAATCTCTCCAGGTAGGATTTATTAGAGTCGGAACTTTTTATATTTGTTTAAACTATATTTATAATTATTAAACGAGACGGAAAAAATTGAAAATTATTTTGAAATCTCTATATGAGGAAAATAATCCTATATTGGCTTAATATATTGTCTTAAAATGACATTTGAATCAGGAATAATAAATATGTTAAATATCAATAAAATAATTAAATTTTATTAAGAAATTAATGGATTTTAATTAATAGATTCCATTAAAATATTAATTTTTGAATGATAAAAGGGGATGAACACGCGGTCTCTTAGAAAGTGGCTTTTGAAATATGTAATTGTATTCGCGTAAATTACACGCTCGTCGACTACAGAAGAATTCTTTTTTGCCGGACAGTAAGAAGAAATCGTATTCCTCCCTCGGGACTATCACTCTTCCGCGTCGGATCGCCCTCTTTCCTTCGAAATATGTAAATTCGACGTTTATTCGACCGACCCCCTGGAATTATTTCACGTCTCTGAATAACATTCGGAGCGTGAGAAACGCACCGATGTATCCTCAGGAATGCGAAAAATTAATTATAAAATATATCAGAGTCATACGAAATTCAACTCCTATTTTCTCTTAATTTTATCATTTTTGAGCAAACAGTTTTGCATAGATACCCACAGCACAAAATATTATGAATGTTAAATATAAATAAAATAGAATAAAAATAGAATAAAAAAATTTTGTGACATTTTTTAGCATATTTCAAAAGATTTTTCAAAATATTTTTAAAAATGTTCTTTATCGTTCAGATAATATTTTCTTAAATATTCGAGACATATTTTTGACAACATTAGTTTAAATCTATATTCAAAAATATTTTTGAAAATATTTTTACACATGAAAAAGCGAACATAGAAAAATTTTAAAAATATTTTCGAGAATTATTTTATCTTTTAAAAAATATTTCGCAAAGATTTTAAAAATATTTTGTGCTGTATGTAAATAATAAATCTTCTCTAACAAATACTCGTCATTAAAAAGAAAAATCAGAATTTTAATCTAAATTTTTCGGCTCGTTACGTAATTTACTCGGTATGATGATGTGATTAAATTTTACTCACATGGCGCAAAAATTAATAGCCTTTTTTTTCGCCGAAACACGCCGGCTGCGATTGCGTTTATATTTTCATTTCGCTGGAATATGAAATATCGAACGTGTCCATATGCGGACCAATAACTAAGAAGCTACGTGTCGCTGGTGTATATATACGAACGTCCACGTGCGAGGGTGATTGGGGGACGAGAAAGGGTGGCTTTGAAATATTGGCTACATAGATTTTCGACCATTATTGTCGCGTGTAAAACACGGCGACATTTGGCGTTAAATCGATCAGGGCGCAGATCCTTTGCGAGAGAACTCTCTTCGTTTCCTCTTTCGCCGGACGAAATGAATAACGCCGCGGCTGATTGTAAAATTGCAGCATAAACGCCGTAAATATGTCTCAACGAGACGATCCGAGCGCCGTTTTATTGCGCGGAATCGATACCTTTGCATTTGCGCAGTTGTTTCAAGCAACTTACGGGTTTATTTAAGAAACTTTCCTAGATGTGACAACATTTAGAACACAATATAAATTGTTTATTAAATTTTGTGCAATTTTATAATGCAATTTTAATAATAAATTTTATAATACGTTCTCTTCGGAAAAATATATAGATTTGTAAAATTTTAATTTTATAATCTACAATTTTCTAAATAATTTATC